ATCCATCTGGCAACTCATTGCAAGGATTGCATAACGTTCGGATGCGGTCGTCGGCGGATATTTTTTTCCTGGTGGGCGTTCAACGCCCGTCTTTTTTCGAAGGGACGTTCGGCTTAAATTAGGAGTGCGTTGGCGGTGTGTCCGTGGAAGTCACCCATAGGCCTTCTCCGAGCTAGGGCGGGACAGGGCCCCCAGGCTGTTTCTCTGAGAAGCGTGCGGCATGACTGTTGTCCCCCAGGTACGGTCGATCATCACCATCATCATCATCATCATCATCATCATCATCATCATCATCATCATCATCATCATCATCATCATCATCATCATCATCATCATCATCATCATCATCTTCATTATCATCATCATCATTATCATCATCATCATCGTGCTCATCGTCAGCATGATGATCATCATCATCATCATCATCATTATCATCATCATCATCATCATCGTCTCTTCCACTCCTCCCTTCCACTCCGCATCCCTTCACCTTTCCCCTCACTCCTCGCTCCTCCTCCTCCGTTCTATCCTTATTACCTTATCCGTCCCCCTCCCTCCCCGCTCCTCCTCCTTCATCCCTCCTCCGCATTGCATTCCATTGCATGGCAACCGCGTGGCAGTGCAGTCGCATTGCGCTGCAGTCGCACTGCGTTCCAATGATGGAGGCAGAATCGTAGATGGGAGGGGGATGGGAGGGTGTCCCTTCTCTTCCTTCTCCTCCCTCCTGTTCTTCGGCCTTTCTCCTCCTCCTCCTATTGATCCTCCTCTTCCACCTCTTCCTCCCCCCGCCAATCTCCCCTTCGGCTGCCATGGACCTACCCGCGAGCATATCATATCCCATTAGCGCGCGGCCCAAAACGTGTGATCAAACACCAGCAACCCGCATGGCAATTGTTTCTGTTTGTGTGCAAACTGCAAGATTACGCCAGTGCTGCTCACTTGAGCTTTCGCCCCCTGGACTTCGCATTGGAGCGAGCAGATCGGTATGTCGACGAATCCGTCTCCGTGGCTTTCCACATCTCACACAACTCGCTAACCCAGAAACGATGGCTTGCGGGCCGCAGCGAATTCAAACAGAACTTGGCGGAACGAATCCAGCTGTAAACAAATCTCAGGAAACTCCGACGGGAGGCCCTTCGCCCGCGTCGTCTCCGCTTTTGTCCACTTGCGTTTGTTGCGCTTGTGGTTCTGTAAGTGTAACTTATCGACCAGGAAATATGTCACACTACGGAAGAACGCTGCGTGGTTCTTTTGCACACGCTGTTCAAAATAGCATGCGCCATCGTGGAACAGCAAATCAGCGCGGACGTTGGGCAGCCGGATGACTGCCTTGACGACGCGCAGCTTGTCCGCCATATTCTCGCTGTGGGAATGCTCAGTGGCGCCCAGCGTCCGCGGAGGTTTGCGGTTCCACGATGGCGCATGCCATTTTGAACAGCACGTGCAAAAGAACCACGCAGCGTTTTTCCGTAGTGTGACACATGTCCTGATCGGTAAGTTTCACTTACACAGCGACAAATGCAACAAACGCAAGTGGACAAAGGCGGAGACGACGCGGGCGAAGGGCCTCCCGCCTGAGCTTCCTGAGATTTTTTACAGTTGGATTCGCACCGCCAGCGTCTTTTTCCCTACCTAGTCTCTGCCTAGAAGGGTTCTTACTCTCTTGGCTTACAGGGCCGGGCAGTGGGAACCGGCCCGGGCGGTTCCCCCAGTATCCGCCCCGCGGTTCCCCCAGCTATGCCCCCATAGCATAGCCAAGCATAGCATATCATATCACAACATAACGCAGCATAGCATAGCACATCATAGCATAACATATCATAGCATAATACAGCATAGCAGAGCCAACCGTTACATAACATAACATATCATAGCGACGCGCAGTTTAGCATAGTATAGCATCGTATAGCTTAACACATCACAGCGCAGCATGACATAGCATAGCTTATCATATCATGTCATAACATAACGCAGCATAACATAGCATAGCATAACATAGCATAGCGCAGCGCAGCGTGGCATAGCATAGCACAGCCTAGCATCGTATAACAACTAATGATGCTTTCCTAGGGGCTGCGACTTCTAGGTCGGGTCGCACTGGGGGAATTGAATTCTTTGTGGCCTGCCAGCCATCGTATCTGGGTTCGCGAGTTCTGTGGGAGGTGGAAATCCACTAAAAGGAGTCGTCGGCATACCGATCTGCTCGCTCGACTTCGAAATCCAGGGGGGCAAGCTCAAGCGGGCCGCGCTGGCGTAATCTTGCACCTGGCACACGAACAAAAACAATTGCCATGCGGGCAGCTGGTGTTTGATCGCGCGCTTCGAACCGCGTGCTAATGAATTAAGAGATGATCGCGGGTAGCTCCATGGCAGCCGAAGGGGGGATTGGCGTGGGGAGGAGGAGGTGGTGGAAGAGGAGGACCCATATGATGATGATGATAATGATAGTGATGATGATGATGATGATGATGATGCTGATGATGCTGATGATGATGATGGTGATGGTGATGGTGATGATGATGATGATGATGATGATGCTGATGATGGTGATGCTGCTGATGAGGATGATGAGGATGGTGATGGTGGTGATGATGATGATGATGCTGATGATGACGATGATGATGCTGATGATGATGATGTTGACGATGATGATGATGATTATGATGATGATGCTGATGATGATGATGATGATGGTGATGATGATGATGATGATCATGATGATGATGATGATGATGGTGGTGATGATGATGATGATGATGATGATGCTGA